GCAATTTTGACCACAAGTGGCTCTTTCGCCATTTTAGCCACAAGGTACCGCTTTGTCCTTTTGGCCACTAGTAGCTGTTTTAACATTTTGCCCACTAGTGGCCATTTACGAGCGACTTTGTGAATTGACCGAGTGGAAATCGAAAAATGTGGCACATGGTCGAAAAATTGAAAACCTTCAAATTTTTCCCAGAGATACTTTGTAGTGAACATAGAAACGTGGTAAGGTTTTGTTTTCAGACTTGCATCTTTATCCTAGAAAATTCACGAAAACTGAAACGAGCGTCGGTAGCCGTAAATTGGCGGTAATCAGTGCCCCGAGTAGAGACAAATGAGCTTTGTTTATGAAAAGTGCTAAAGAAAGCAAGCTTATATCAATTTCATAAATTTGTATAGGAAGGATACCGGCATGGTTTTAGTAAAAAACGGGACCATTTCATTTAATCTGGAGCTCTCGGAACACTTTTGATAATTACCAATATTTCAAATTCCAAATATCTCATTTCGTAGCAAATTTTCAATTATCATTTTCTACATGCAGTGTAACTTACAATCGGTTCAGGCTAAGCTCATGGTAAGTGAAAATAGTGTTGTTCTCGAGGATATAAAAATTAGTTTAGGGCTTTCTATTTTCGCACGAAAAAACCAGGCTGAACTTTGTGAAAATCGCAACATCGGCAGTTACGTCACGACACAGTCTAATTAGGTACCCTGTTGTTAAAGCCGGAATTCCAAGCACACTTTTGCAGTAAGCACCGTGTTTGATCAGGAATCAAGACAATAAGCTACCCTTGCATAGCTAACGACGACAGACTGGTTTTTATCCCCGCTGTCGTTTCAAATTCTCATCCATTCCACATGGCGAAATTGTTTACAACACCACATTCCGTAAGCTAACTGAGGCGTCCGTTTTTCTTGGCATTTTCGGACACATTTAAGTTTAAAGAAAGTTCTAGGGTAAAATTGAGCTTCACTGTGGACTTGAAAGAGAAAAATTCAATCATTTATACCGGTAGGTCAAACATTCTTTGACGAAGACGTTGAAGACGGCAGGCAATCTGATACTAGTGTAGATGCTACATACTAAAGCGTCTGTCACGCAAGGCTGAAATTATTTCAACCTTGTTCCCGCTTTGTAATTTTACGGCCACGAATGTCCGTAACTATGGTTTTAACAAACTTGTCAATGTGATAATCTTTCTTATCAGTAAGTAATCGCTCTGAGAAAATGTGGGAACGTTGCAAAAAATGGATTAAGAGTTCGAACTGATTTGGTACAAAATTTTCAATTTTGTCAAATAAAACGAAGTGAAATGTTAATTGTTTTCGGTAGAACTCTTATTACTATCGTCGTACGGGGAAAAAAAAAAAGGTGGTCTCTGTAGCCCAAAGAAACAAATAGGTAACCTTTAAAAATTGTAAATTGGAAAAGTGAACCGTTCACCTTGAAAATTATTGAATGGTTAACACCGCAGCGTTTAATTTTGAGTAATGGATGCACGTGGTAGGTGTTTAGGTACTAAAGAAGCATAAGGGTCGCGCGGGGAGATAGCCGAGAGGGACTCTGGCTTTTTGAGTGCTTAGCAAACCTTCTCATGGCATGCATAACTCAGTAGCGTACGCTTTGGTGTTTACCATTTGTTTTATAGCCTGAAAACGATACATTGTGGCAAGAGAGTTCCTATTTATGTAATAAATGTTACGTGACCAGAAAAAAAAAGCGTGCGGAAAACAGTCATCGCCTTTCTTCATGTCAGCAACGCATATCCATGGGCAAATGGTCGACACAGAATTGGCCAATCAGAGCGCGCGCTTTTGAAACCAAT